TCTATAATTTTGAGTTTATCAGTGCAACCGTTCTTGTTAGAGTTATTATTTAATGTTAGTATTTGATATGAGTGTTATTACGGATCGAAGGAACAGGTATCGTTCCTACCTTTCTTTGTTATTATTTATTACACATTGATATCACAACGGTTATTATTATTGTTATTATTTCAAAACTTTTATCATTATTGCAGTTTTCTTTTCGAGATTACGTGTTGGATGTGCATCGTGGTTGTTGCAAAGTAATCAATCGATCATTGATTTTAGATGCCGCAAACAGCTGCAGCGAACCAGTTCAATGCAATGGGAATACGACCGCGCGGAACTGGTTCGATATTCGACTCGCCGCTCATCGATCCGGCAGCGTTGAATCTGCACTTGAATTCTGTTGATACCACCTCGTTGGCCGCACTTCAGTCGGCTTTACCTCAACTAGCGCCAAACGCACTCGGCCGACAGTCTCAGTGTGGGACACCGTCCGATCAGATCGTCACTTCTGCAGCTACTCTTCTTAACGATCGACAGTTTCTGGTTGGTTTTTGATGGAAGTAATTTAGTGCCAAATGAGAATCATTATTATGAATGAAAGTGATTGGTTAAGCAACACGTTAAATTAAATTGATTTGCTAATTGTGAGTATTGAATCTAATCGTTATGTCATTTTTTTGTTGTTATTTTTGTATGGAGCACCGAGCTTATTGTTTGATTATGAAGAGAACAAGTAATAATTTGAGGGATTGACGCGTGGTATGGCTCCGAAGAATATCGTTGGCGCAAGTGATTTGATTGTTCGCTGGCATATCGGTGGTATTGGAATTGCCCCGGGGCAGTTCAACTCACCGCATGGTTTTTGCTTGGGATGCGATGATGAGATTCTAGTTGCGGACACCAACAATCATAGAATTCAGGTTTTGTTTTGGATTGTTTTTATTAGTTATGCTTTGATTTGAATGTTTTGATGAGCTATGGGTGACGTTGTAAACAGTCGAAGGAGCTTTGTGTAAATTCTTTGATCGAATAGCATTATGAAGTTTGGATTTTTGGCAAATTAACTCATCCGGAAAAGAGTGGAATCCCCTTCGGGAACTTGCGANTTATGAAGTTTGGATTTTTGGCAAATTAACTCATCCGGAAAAGAGTGGAATCCCCTTCGGGAACTTGCGAGTGCCCTTATTGTTAGTAGACAGTAGAATGTGGGCATGTTGATGTTGAACACAATCAAAAAATCATGATTCGTTTGTCTTTAGAATTGAATTTTGCAAAATGGCAAATTCACTTATAATGGTGACACTTTCACGTAATTACAGTTTGTATTCATATTATTTGATTGAAGGGATCAGATCTAACCGCTTTCAGTCGTTCAAATGATAAATATCTTTCAACCAGCATTAATTAATGATTTGAAAGTTTAGATTTTGTCGAAGCAAGGTAAAGCTATAATGCAATTTGGTGTTGCGGGTACAGAGGATGGACAGTTGTTCTATCCGAAGAAAGTAGTTGCGTTGAGACCACGACCATCACTTCCCGATGGCGCATATATCGTTGTGGATAAAGGTGACAGTAAAGCGAGACTTCAGCTGTTCACGAAAGTTGGCGAATTCATCCATAAAATTGGTATGTTTCATTATGTCATAATTATTTTATTGATTTCATCTTAAACTTTTTATTGGAATGTAATTTTTCGGTGATTGAAACCGCTAACTTGTCAGCCTTGCAGTTTATGAGCTGTTCATATGTTTAAAGGGAATCCTGAAAGTCATATTCGTTTACTAGTATGACCTAGCTGTATATTTTAATTTTTTTTCATTCCATCGAATTAATGTTACCGTTGTGAACAGATGTACGTATGATAGTGATTCCTTTCAAACAGAATCGATGTAAACCTAATATTTAAATGAAAATCAAAGCTTCACAGCAACAGCTATGAGAAAGGCAAATTCCAGTGGCCACCTATATCGAGTATGTATCAGCATTGACCGTAAATGAATCCGGTCATTTGGTTGTCTTCAATAGTACTGGTGCTATGTTCGTGCTCGATATTGATCAAGGTCCTACAGCGAAGGTGTTGAAGTGGGCTGATTGCGGGAAGGTACTCTGTGAAGCATCTGATGTGTCTGTTTTTGAGGGTCTTTACTATGTGACCGACTATAAGCAGCATTGTGTTGTTGTGCTGACAATTGATGGTTAGTTGGTTGAATCGTTTTGTTTTGTTGATTTGCTGATCGATTGAAGAATATCCACGAATTCGATTATTCGTGTAATGTAATTAGGTGAATTGGTGCGTCGGTTCGGTGCATTCCAACATACACCGTACCCGATCGGAGTCGACGTATCGAAGGCTGGCGATGTGCTTATTGCTGACTCACACGGCAATCATTTTCACATTTTGGTTTGCTCGAAAACTGGTCAACGATTGCAGGATTTCGAATGTACACAACTTAAGGTTTCGTTTGTTCTCATTACTTTTGTTATTTTGTGTGTTGCTATTTCCATTGTTAATATACAACCTCGAAAATTATCATTACTATCGATCGTAGCAGTATCCTCGCTACCCTTACTGCCGTTATCAAACTTAATTTTTTTTGCTTCTCTGCGAACTGATTTCTAATTGTTTTCGAGAGATTACTTCTTCGATGCTTGAAGCTGATCATTTGTTGAAGGTATCACGTTGCGT